ATTGAGTAACCATGGTAAGTGATAAACAGACAAAGGAAACTGATCTAAAAACAGTGCAAACTAACAGGATAACTCAAACCATGAATGACAGAGACAAACCAACTCAAAGTACTACAGAATCAAGTATAGTGCGTGTAAGGATGAATTGGCTATTGATAGCCCCTTTGATTTGATTGCCAGTTAGATTTGAAGACACGATCGTCTCATGTTGCTAGCTTACATACACTAATGTACATCGGAACGGCAAAGGTATATATAAAACAGATTAACGTAATGCACATATGATAGTTACAAATATCAAATATCACACACTTACTTTTCATTGACGCACAAAACCCGTGAAAGTAATAAACATATAGTATGCACAATGGCAGAAGTTTAATGACCGCATCGGCGCTCTGATGAACTCAACCCCAAGCGCCATGGGCGGGATATTCGCCTGTGTGTAGGTCGGCGAATTCTGATTGGCTGCCGCGCGGGATGCTGCGCATCTGTCAATCTCAGCAGAAGGAAAAAGACGTGATCAGCACTCATATTAGTTTGACAAATTAATGGCCTTTTTAACAGTGTGTATAGTCATGTATAGTGTGAGCAGTCAAGTTGCAGCTCGACGATTGATGTGAGCACACAAATCCTGAGCTTTGGCTTTACATCGCATGCGATTTATTTGTACAGTGAGAGTTGGTCTTTAACAAAAAACATTGCTGAAATCGCAGAGTGTATGCCCCGCTTAACCCTGACATTATCCCTATTATATATACTATATATAGTACTATATATATAGTATTATTAACATTAAAAATATAAATAATTCTAAAATATAGGCTAATATTAATATTATACATATATTCCAGTACAAGAGCTGGCAGAAGAGAGCCACACTTATGTTAAATCTTTTGAGGGTTTTTCAAGTTGTTTGATTGTTGCTCTCCTCTCCTGAACTTACTAGGTATGCTTTGTCTGTCAAAACAATGAACAATCCCCTCCTTTCAAAAGACACAAAAAAGGAAAATTGCACCGTAATCTGATGCGCGTTTGGAGCGTAGAGACCCTGTGATCTTGTGCAACATCGTGAAACAGGAGAGTGGTACATGACAGAGTTCTTTACCACAGAACAACTGAGGAAACAACAGAAACATTGTATTTAATTATTTATTTATTTGTTTATTTTATTTTATTTATTTATTTATTTATTTAACTATCTATTTATTTTTGATGAAGTGCTCTATAAAAATCATTTTGAATTTTACAACTACAACTATATTAAAATAAGTTTTTTTGTGAGTTGGGGGGGAGGGTGAAATGGTGTTGCTATATAATTGCATACTAAATATAGTACCGAAATAACTTTGTAGCTGCCTATATGGCATAGTTGAAATAATTAAAATCATACTGACAGCTGACTGGTCAAACAAACAAACAAACAAATAAATAAAAATCCGGACACTACAGGCAAAAAATTGTTTTTTCATCCACAATTTTGAGATTTTGGCTATTTGGCTTTCCATAAAGTGGTTTTTTTTTTTTCAGACTAGTGTAAAGAAAAATGCAAAAAAAAAAAAAACCCTTCAAATGATTATTTACTTAATAATGCTTAATAATTTTTAAGCATAACTTAATCATAAACTTAATCATTGTATTATATGTCTGTATTCTGAAGTGTTTTACTGAGGGGTTTGTTCAGATATCGTCTGCCTGTTTTATTAACCATTTTACTCCTAAAAGATAAACCAAATTAATAGGTTAAAACTGTGAAAACATAGAAATTACCAAAAGTTTAATAGATGTTATTATAACAACTTGTTTTCCAGGTGAGGTGAGCCAAGAGAAGCTGAAATCTGTTAAGACGAGTGACGAGATGGGTGTTTTCAAAGAATCAAAGGCGTGCACTCCAAGTAAGCCTGAACTCTGTGTTTACCCACATTTATTTACATTATTAACAAGTGTTTTACACTTTATCACCTGGAATTTCTTTCTTCCTCAGCTGGAAACACAGGACTGATGCTGGTCCCCTGCAGGATGCTACTGTCCATCATGCCGGCAGCAGTCTGTCTACTCGGGTTACTGAGGCACTAGATGGAGCTTTCAGTGATATCACAGCACTGCCTTCACTTCGTTACTTTAATAAAACAGGACATGTTCAGCCCAACACCGAGAACGTGGCAAATGATCAATATTGCAACCCGAACCTTAAAGAACATTCCTCATTTCATCATGTTACACACCCAAGCCCTTAAAAGAAAATGATATGATCATGTTTCACAATCGTCTGTATCTTGCTGCTCTGTTCTAAATGGGATTAATGGACATGTATTCGTTGTAAATTCCTCAAAAGTCTAACTTAATACTGTATTATACTGCTTCCCTGATTTATTTCTATTCACTGTATATTTTGTATGATGCAACCAGTGTGAATACAACACAACCCTTGTTTTCATGCAACACGACTCTATAATTTGTTATGTGAGCCTGTGAAATGAAGTCTTATGTCTTACACTGTTTGTGTGTTTTTTATGGGTGTCTGGCAGGTGATTTACTAAGAATATTACTCATATAAATGTTATATAGGCTATATATGTGTTAAAATAAAATTAATTATTCAGCAAAGATGTAAAGACTTTTACACTGTTAAAAATACATATTTCAAATTAACTTTATATCAAAGAATCCAGAAAAGCAGTACAAATATCAACGTTGATAATAATAAGAAATGTCTCAAAATACGCAAATCATCATTTCTGAGGAATCATGTGACACTGAACACTGGAGTAATGATTCTGAAAATGTTAAAATATATTAAAATTAAATTTGTTATTTTAATTTGTAGTAATATTTCTCAAAATTGTTACTTTATTTGGGATCAAACAAATGCAGCCTTGGTAAGCATATGAGACTTACCCAACCCATATACCTTATTCAGTAGTTATTCATAGGCTATATTAATAACTAATTATTAATATATTAACATGTTAATTAAAAAAACTTTTACTTTTACTTCAAATAAAATAAATATCAATTATGTAGCCTATGTACACACACACACACACACACAGAGACACACACAAATAATTTAATTTAATTAATTTAAATTTAATTAACAAATAATAAATTAACAATTAACAAATAATAAAAATAACAAAAACACAAAACAAAATGACTAAACCTAAAAAAAAATTAAGTGAACCCAGAAAATATGAAAATAAAATTTAATTCAAAATATTAACAAGAACTAATGTCTACTAGTCTGCTGTCATTGACTAAAAGTGGGCGAGTCGCTGTACGCGCCATGTGACTGGAAGAGGCAGTCTGTCACGTGAGCGCACACGGCATCACTGTAATGGCAGCTTCCTTTGCACACTAACACAAGGAACAGCAGAGTTTTACCAGTAGTTTACATCTCAAGGCTCGCTTCTCTAAGGTAACTGGTGACTTGTTTGATGTCAGTCGTTCACTGTGTGTGCTCCACGCTCAGAAAACAGCAGTGGATTGTGCAGCGCGAGGCCAACACGAGTGTTATTGTTATTGTCGCTTGCATAACATGCGTGTGTTTCGATAAACGGAGAAGCGTCGGCGCTTCCTTTGAAAGGAAAAGCAAATATTTAATAAATAGTGAGTGAAACATAAATAAAAACAAGCATGTTTGCAGATTAATATCTTTTATGTTTTTGAAAGCATTGTATTTGGATGAACGGTACGGGAGACTGCCACACCTACCACGGACAAAACATAATAAAAATAAATTCTAACAAAGTTTTTTGGGGGTTTAACTTAAGTTTATTGATACGTTGTTATGTCCTCGTACACTGCACATCTCCCGTCTAAATTAATGCTTAAAAACTGACTGTTTAAATATAGATTGTTTATATTGTTGAACTGTAAAGCCCTTCTATCCAATCAGCTGTCGATATGATAATTCCAGGGACGTGATTGGATGATGTAACACTGGCCTGTCGATGCTGTAGCTTTTGAGCTTTGTAGCTTTATTTTGTGAATGAATAAGCCCAGGACACAGTGTTTCTATCTATCTATCTATCTATCTATCTATCTGTCTATATATATATCTCTTTAAAATATGTATACATAAATACAAATAAAACTAAATTGTAATAAGAGATATTTGCAATATCTATAACTTGAGTATTCTGGAATCTTTTTAAAATATTATAGTAACCATGCTTTCCCACAATATTACTACGATTATTGTTAATAAATAATAATATAGTCCCTCATAGGAATAGTGTAAACTTGAATCAGAATATTTATTTATTTTTTAATTCATTCACTAATTTGATTCCCTCATTCTTTGGTAACAATGACAGAAAATGGGATCTTTAAAAGAGAAGGTTTAGTGGTAGTCTTTTGTAAAAAGTTTGGTAAATGGTTGCGTGGTCACAGGACAAGAAGACGTAGACAGTAAATCTTTAACTATGGGATGGTCGCTTTATGCCACCTGAGAGACCGTCTGTGCAAGGTACAGGTTAACAATCTCATATCTTTCCAACTTTGAGCTCCACGTTACCAGTAAGTTCTCTGGTTCACAGAGGGAAAATGGCTGCAGGTAATTCTTTGTTCACAAAAGCCTTTTTTGTTTGCACTTATACACACACTTGCACAGTCAGAAACGTGTAGATGTCTGAGCTCTCAGTGCTTTGGTAACTTGTTAATTGTCACTAGCAGCGGATTTAATTTATGATAATCTAATATCAAGGTTGCATTTTTTACAGTGTTTTGAACAAATTTACATAATTGTGTTTTTTTTTTTTTTGGTCTTGGTTAACATAGGTCTGAAAGTGAAATGTCATGTTTATTAGAATTAGATATCGATATCGATTGAAATATTACATTGGCAAATTGCTGATTGTTTTTTTTTCACACGGTAGTCATTGGTGATGACAAGATGTCGTCAATTGCGTGGTGTGTAAATTTAAGCCCGACTTTCTTTTTCTCTCAACAGACGCTATGTCTCCAAAGATCACAGTGGAGTTGCTCAGGCAGCTCCGCCAGGCCATGAAGAACAGCAAGTACATCACAGAGCCCATCCAAGCGTACATAATCCCATCAGGAGATGCACATCAGGTGATATATCAATACACTAAAACCTGCTGTAAAAACCTTTGAGCTGGGCTCCACAAATGTGATTCCTGTGATTTAGAAATGTACAGACTGATTTATAAACATGCAGACTGTTTTTATAAACATCTCAACTTGCTTGTGATTGATATATATTCAGCCTTTTGACAATTCAACCTGTGATTTACAAACATATAGTCTGTGATTTATAAATACATGGACTGTCATTTGTATAAATACTGTTTTGTATGTTTATAAACATTTCATAGTGCCTGAGATTTATAAACTTAACAGCCTGTGATATATAAATGTACAGACCATGATTTACAAACATATAGTCTGTGATTTTTAAACACATAGCCTGTGATTTAAGCATTCAAACTCTAACCCATTCAACCTGTTATTTATAAATGTACAGACTGTGATTTGTAAAAATCACTTCATGTGATTTCTAAACATTCATACTTATAAACATGCAGAGTGTGATTTATATAACCTGTGATTTATATAACTTGATTGAACCTGTGATTTATAAACACAGCATGTTATGTATAAATATTCAACCTGATTTATAAACATACAGACTGTTATGTGAAAAAAAAATACTGACTGTGATTTATAAACATTCCACCTTATAAACATGGAGCCTGTGACTTAAAAATATACAGCCTGTGGTAAATAAACATTTAAGCTTATAAACATTAAACACTCTAGAACCAAATTACATCATTCACTTCAGCTGCTGCAGTGTTATTGTATGTGTGTTTGTCCCTGTTGTGCCTTTTAATTTCTATTGTGTGAGTGGATGGGCTTCACCCCCTCCTCTCTGACTCTGTGATTATGAAATTACCTCTGATTACGTGTGTGTGTGTGTGTGACCTCCTGCCGAGTGTTTTCCTTCATTCTGGCTGGTTAAATTAGCAGTAATTAGGACTGATTGCTGACAGAGCTGATCTCACTTTTTCCCCTTCATTTCTCTCTTTTTTTCACTGCATCCATTCATTCTGCAGAGTGAATACATCGCGCCCTGTGACTGCAGACGTGAATTCATCTGCGGATTCAACGGCTCTGCAGGTGTGTGTAACTTCAAAGTATTCACTTTTATATAATTGCGATATGACAGCAGTATCATTTAATACCTTTGTTACTCGATCACAGTGGAGATTTATCAACTATAGAGCTACAGAATCATAGGCGAACACACACATAGGAACAATGGCATTCATTACTTAAGATTACTTATATAAATATAAATAGATAAGCAGACAGTATAATAAAAATAAAAAAAACTTGACAATTCTTGACAGTGTCATTACAAGACAATGCAGTTCACCCCACCCCAATATCATTCACTCAAAGAATGGGGAAAACATACAACCTGTGATTTATAAGCATTTAACCTGTGATTTATAAACAATCAGCCTGTGATTTGTAAACATATATCCTGTGATTCATAAACATTCAACATTCAGCTTTTGTTTTATAAACAATCAACAGCCTGTGATGTATAGACATGTATAACTTTATAAATATAGAGCCTGTGGTTTGTAAATATGCAGCCTGTAATTTATAAACATTAAGCCTTTTAAACAGTATTTATACATGTAGGCGCTGTAATTTATAAGCATGCTTGCTCCAGGTACTGCTATTGTGACAGAACAGCATGCTGCTCTATGGACAGATGGGCGGTACTTCCTGCAGGCCAGCCAACAGATGGACAATAACTGGACTCTGATGAAAATGGGTACAGTGAATGTTAGCATAGTTTTCTGATGTGCGGTTGCTAGGTCATTACTTTTGTTATCATATTGCTATTACATAATCGTGAAAGCATGTCGGCCAAGGTGCTGCTTTTCATAAGTCATTGCAAAACATTTATTAGAATATATTCCTGAATTTGTGACTGAACTTCATGACTTTACTTAAATCAGTCTTGAGCTTTACATTGATTAGTGTATAATATACAACATTGTTCAAAAGAGCAATCCGAAAATGATTATGACATTTTGTACTGTCAGGGCTGAAGGAAACACCGTCTCAGGAGGACTGGCTCGTCAGCATTCTTCCAGAAAACTCCAAAGTGGGAGTTGATCCTTGGATCATTGCTGCCGGTGAGGAATTCAACGACAAGACCATAATGAATAAGTTCTGCATTATTACAAATATTTTCATTCATATAAATAGGGGTGTCATGCAAATATATGTTAGTGAATTCAAAATTATCTATTTTTTAAAGTAATATTATTTATTTTAAAAATTATTTTATTTATATTTTATTAAAAGTATTACTTGGTCAAATGGGCATTCTCTCGTCCATATTAATCTAGACTACTGGAAATAGTTATACATACAAATATTTTCATACATATTAGGAGGGATTTCATTTATTTTTTTATTCTTTACATATGTGTGCATAAGTATTTTTTTTTAAATGATAGTACTACAATTATTTTATT